GAGGCTTCAGCCACACCCTCAACCTACCAGTGCAGTGCCAGGAAAAGAAGAAGGGCAAGACAGCCTTCCGGATCTCCACGCCTTCCTAACGCAATACAGCAGTTCAGAGTCATGTTCGTAAGCGTGCAACTTTTGCTACGACAAGGCTACACCACGACCGAGAAGAAACCTCTCCGACGCCGGGAGACTGGGGATGATCTCATTTGCATGGTTGGAGTATGTAGTGAGGTTGGGCCGCGACGGGTAAGGTCGTGTTGGCTTTAAATTGGGTTCGCTGCGTGTATTTCGGGCGGATGAGGGGTTGGATGAGGCTAATATGTTGGGGCAATTTACAAGCTCGCGAGGCCGACGTGGTGGCCTGGGCTAAGGGCCTGACCATGCACTCGGTCGTGCGCGAGCCCGGTAACCGTGCTCGATGCACGCGGTGCAACTGGTCGGGAAGATACGACAAACGCACGTCGCCGTGTGTGCCCCGGCTTACTAATTGATTTATTGCCTTATTACTGACGACTTACTATTTACTACTTACTACTTACTACTTATTACTTACTACTTAATTACTACTTACTACCTGCTGCTACTACTACTACTACTACTACTACTACTACTACTACTACTACTACTACTACTAGTACTACTGCTACTACTACTACTACTACTACTACTACTACTACTACTACTACGACCTAAGCTGGCTTGCCGGCGTTGTTCCGCTTCCCGCTACTACTACTCCTAGTACTACCGGGTGCCAGGAGGACTGCTGTCGAGCTATTACTGCCACTACTACTACTACTACTACTACTACTACTACTACTACTACTACTACTACTACTACTACTACTACTACTACTACTACTACTACTACTCCTGCTGCCACAGGTTGGGATTAGTCTGGATCCAGACACGATTGCAGGATTGCTGGGGTCGGGCCAGGTTTGCCTTAATTTGAGAAGAGTTCACCCGACCCAACCTAAGCTGTGCTGACGCCAATTACGTAGGTTGGGTGGAGTTGAGCAGCTTTTGTAGTCCAAGCTGATCTGGGTCCTGGCAGTTTAGGTTAGGTCAGGTTCGGGTCGGTTCATGTACTGTCGCTTGTACTGGGCCACATGACAGTTCTGAATGCTCAGGTTGATGCAGCGTTTGACCGATCCATCCAATCGGCGGTGGGGGAAGTGCGCCACCAGGGCCTCGCTGCGCGTGACCGAAGCTTACAGCTTCTGAAAGCCTTCGCCCCCTGCCTCCAACATGGTGTGCGCCCAGCGCCGGCTTTAGTCCTAATTCTAACACCCGACAACCCACACTTGCATCCGTCATGTAAGGATCCCAGAAACCCACACCCTAAACTCAGCTTTCTTGGGTGCGCACGCATGTAGCCGAGGTTAGCGCCCAATATCAGAAGAAGCGCCCGCGAGCGTCCAAGTAAGGCTCATATCGGGTCTTCTGGGTGCCACCTGGTTCAGGGTTCAGGGTGCGGCGTTCCCGGAGGAGCTGGGGCTTCAGGAGGCTGAACTGAATGTTGAAGGTTTGGGATTTTGAGGCTCGCGGATTGGCACCTGCGGTTTAATTGAGTGTTTGTCGGCGGCGCAATTACATTCTCATCGTGTTGCTATTACTCCTCAAGCATACCTCAGTGGCTATTCGAGCTTTCCTTCTTCACGTCAAGATGATCTTGTCCAGGTAATTCCATGGGGTCGCTTTAGTTTCGACTAGACTCAGATCTTTTAAGGTTAAGTAAGCTCAAGGCAGGAGTAACTAGTTTCGTTTGGGTCGGGTAGGATAGGTTGGGTCGGGTTAGGGTCGGTGCAGGTGCTCTGGCTTGGAATGGGGCACGGTTGGGGTGGCCGAAAAATTGCTTGAATTAGGTTAGGTCAGGACCAAACTGGGTGCAGACACATCGCTTGGGTCGGGTTAGGGTTAACTTGACTTGACCAGAGTTAGCCCAGCCTGACCTAAGTTGTTTTTACGCAAGCTAGGTTGGGTGATGTCAGCTGAGGCAACCCAAGCTGATCTGGATAGGGATAGGTTGGGTCAGGTCAGGGTGGGTGCAGGTACTTGCGTTTGGAACGGGCTAGGTCCGCTAGGTCAGGCTTGGCATAGGCTGAATATTGGACGAAATATTCACTAAATTGGGTTAGGGTTGGATAACGCTGGGTCCAGACGCGATTGCTGGGGTCGGGCCAGGTGTATCTGATTTGATAAGAGCTCACCCGACCCAACCTAAGCTATCCTGACGCCAATACGTTCGCTGATGTTCGCTTAGTCAACCCAGCCTGATCCGGGTTCGGGCAGCTCAGGTAAGGTCAGGTTCGGGTCTGTTCGTGTACTCTCGCTTGGAACGGCCAGGGTCGGAGGTAAAGTGAAAGAATTTGAAAATTAATATGGACGGAGATAGAGTTAATTTGTCTTCGTCAGAGTTCACCTGACCCAACCTCGAGGCCTGGGTCACTGAACCGTGTCGGCCCTCTCAGCATAACCTGTCCTGACTTTGGGTTCAAGCAGGTGCAGGCACCTCCTAATGCCGGCTAGGTAGGACCAGGTGAGGTCGGGTTGGGTACGATGAGCCAAGCTTAGGCCAGCTCGGGATCATGTCACGTGCAGAAAACCCAACCTATCCCAACCTGACTTCACCTGACCTAACCCAACCTCAACCAGCCTGCTTCAAGTTAACCCACGACGAAACCTGAGCCCAAGCTGTCCTGTATCAACCAAACCTATCGGCGAAGGGCTGAAGGTAGCTCTGCTTCGGACTGGGTTAGCTTCTGGAGCGTTGAGGTCAGAGCGGGTTTGCTCAATGTAGCAGTATAGCCGAGGCTAGACAAGGCCAGGCCGTGCATGCGTTTGCGATGCCGAAAGTGTTGCCTTGGACAGAGTTGGACTCCAGATGCTTGCCCCTGGACTTGACAACCGCAACTGAGAAGGATGTCAGAGGCAGTTTGGAGGCTTGGATACAGGAGAAGCAGAAGAAAGCTCGCATCACCAAGGTGTCTGTGAAGGAGACGACCGGCAAGGTCTGGGCCAAGTGCACGTGCGACTCCAAGTGCGACTTGAGCTATCGCTTCAACTTACGCTTGGAGCAGGAAGGCAGTGCCAAGGCGGAATGGCTTGAGTCAGGCGCTCACTATGAAAAGAAGCCCGATGCTGCCGATGCTGACGCAGCAGCATCCAGAAAACGCAAAGAGCGGGCCACGGCTGTCGCGCATCTCCGACCTCTACAAGCACACGCGCAGCTCCTTTCGGAGAATGGGGACCGGGATACGATGCCCACGTAGAAGGCGGGCAGGGGCTTCATTAAAGGTATGATCACGGCGTGGTTAGTTTGCTGCGGGATAGGGAGTCCAACCTTGCCATGACCGAACGCAAACCAGTGGAAGCCACCTGTGCTGACCTAACCTGACCCAATGTCACTTGAGACAGCCACATGCAGCTCATCAAGAAAGAACAAGTAGCGTTCGTTTGAGTTTCTCAGGACATATGAGAAAGCCCATCGGGCTCACCTGCGGAAACAGCCACGATCCAGCAAGCCCTGCGGCGACCTGGCCGGGTTGTGGGTGCAGTACGTTCAGGACCGCTTTGGAGCATGGTGGGTGACTGAAGGTGGGATTAGGTTAGGTCGGGCGGGATTTTCTGTTCTGAAGTCCGTTCGCTTCACACAAGGGAAACTGACCCCGACAACTCCTAAGCTCACCCCGTTACCTGATCCAACGTGACCGAACGCCACATATCTTCTGAGGTCTGCCCTATATCGAGACGTAACCTAACCCGGTCCGAAGTCACTTACCAGAAGCTGCCCGAACCTTGCGTGATCCAAGCTCTGTAAAATTGCCCTCCCGGGCAAGGTTCAGTAAGTTCAGGGCAGGAGCACGTAGTTTGGTTTGGATCGGCTGGGCCTGTTTGGGTCAGGTTCGGGCCGGTGCAGATGCTCAGGTTGGGGTGGGTGAATTGGGCTAGGTGAGGATTAGGTTGGGTGCAGACGATCGCTTGGGTCGGGTTAGGGTTAACTTAACTTGACCGGAGTTAACCCAGCCTAACCTAAGCTATTCTGATGCCACGTAGCTTGGGTCAGGTCAGCTGAGGTAACCCAAGCTGTTCTGGATGTATAGAGGTACATTAGGTTGGGTCAGGTCCGGGTCGGTGCGCGTAGTCTCGCTTGGAACGGAGTAGGTCAGGGTAGACTCAAACTTTATGGAATCACGTCAGGTTGGGAAAAGACCGGGGCTAGACGCGATTGCTGGGGTCGGGCCAGGTGTATTTAACTTGATGAGAGCTCACCGGACCCAACCTAAGCTATCCTGACGCCAAATAGGTTCGGTGATTGTAGCGTAGGTGATCCAATCGCAGGTACTTTCTCCCACGCGACCTTAACTAGCGTTGGCTGGCCCTTTCACCTGACCCAACCTAGCCTCACTAGCCTGACCCAACCTAATCGTAGTCCAACCGGGCCTGGTCTCAGACAACCCCCACCTGACTCCAAAGCGACCCTGCCTGCACAGTACCCCAATGTATCCCGTGGTTGTCACGAAACCTAACCCAACCTGTTGCAAGCCAAGTTACCAGAAGCTGCCTCGACCTCGCGCGATCCTCCAAGCTGTAGGAAACTGACCGTCCGCCGACTGTATCTACCCCAACTCAAGCTGATCTGAGTCTCTACCAACGCGACCTCACCTAGCCTGGGCTTGCCCTTCAACCTCACCCAACCTAACCTCACTAACCTGACCCAAGCTGATTCTGCTCTGACTTAGCCTGGTTTCGCATTTCCCGACCAGACTCCTTAAAACCAGACCTGCCTGCAAACTACTCCTATGTAACCTGTGGGTGGTGGCGCCGCAAACTCGTGTCTGCGTAGGACCTAGCCAAGTGCAGCGAGCAGGGCAACGTAGGGCAACGTCAGACCGTACGAGTTTCAGTTCACGCCCTTGCAACTGGTGGGGCCTGAGAGTCCGCTGAGCCTGCTGACCCTCCAAAACGAGATGCGTCAGAATGTTACAGAGGGCTCTTGTCTCATGACGACCGGCTTCATGGTGCAAAACATCAAGAAATTGCTCGGCAACCAGATCCATGGCGCAGGCAGCGTCCTCGTTACTGACTATACCTACAAAATATCTGCGTCCGGGTGGGGCCTAGGCTTGTTTGGTCTCACCCAAAAGCCCGTGGCGCGGCAGGAAGGCTCCTTGCCGCAAACAGAGGTGGTCCTGGCCGCCTTGTGCTGGGTACCGAAGGAGAACACAGTGAGCATAGCCGCGGCCATGAGCAGCTTCGTGCATTTGATGCAGCGGCATGACATCGATACACTGAAGGTCAAGTTCGTCTGCATGGACGGGACCGATGCTGGCAAGCTCGCGGCCTGCAAGGTTTTGCCGACGTTGCGTCATCAGCTGGACCTTCACCATGTTTTGCGTGCGATCCGCGACGTCAAGGTGGCCACGTGTGGTCACAAAAGCAATGCTGTGCGGATGGCACCCCAGGCGCGCTGGTTCTTTCCTGCTCATGGATAAGTCATGAGTCATAACACCTATTCCCAGCCAACCCGGCTTGACCCGCACCAACTTGTCCTTGACCTGTCACCTGCCCCCGTGTGATTTCTTGTGTTCTGTTGTTCTTTTACAAAATAATACCACCGTTCGTTGCGCTTCCAGGTGAATTGGAGCTACAGCCTGCCAACGTGGACCTGTTCCACGCCGTGTGGCAGAGTGTCCTGTGCGAACTGGCTGCGACGGAGTCGTACGCATTCCTGGCTTATGTGCAGTCCGAAGTTTTGATGTTGGTGAACGAACAGTGGCGCGCAGCCTGGGCGGGAGGTCTCGAGGCGGCAGTGCCCGGCCACAACACGGGCACTGTCACCCAGAGCTTGGAGAGAGCCGTGGCTTTTGTTTGATGATTATCTGTTTCGATGGTTAGCTATGCACACCTGGTCTAAACTGCGTTAACCCAATGTCCCGGCAGGGATCGCATGCTCCAAAGTTCACCCAACCCACCGAACCTTGATCTAAAGGAGTCCGAACCTATTAGGTTAGATTAAAATTGGGTGTCGGATACATCGAACTTGAGTTAGTGCATCTACTTGCGTTTGGGCGTGCCACCGATTGGCTACGTCCTCCTCGTGGGCGGCGCGCGGACACTCGTGCCAGACCGCATTTAGAACAGTGAGAAATAAAACAAGGGTTATACGGTGGCTCCTGGCGGTTTTCATGCCAGTCATGTCTTGTCATGCTTGCTGTGCGTTGACATATCATGAACCTTCACGCCTTGCGCTGCGTAGGTCTACGGACGCTTCCGGGAGGGAGGAAACGAGAAACCAACAATATCTACACTGGGACACGGCAACATTTTCGCATGCGGCACGTGCCAACCCATCCCTGCCTAGCTTTGGTAGGAGTTCCCCCGGGTTAGCGGGCCCTTTATGCACCTCGTGCTCTCAACTCTGGTGGAGGGGGACGGGATTGCCAATCATCTCCTATGCCGTCTCGGCCCAAATCCTTTGGGGCCGTTGGGCTGGATGCCATTATGGCGTCCGGCTCTCCCCGTTGGGACGACTAAGCTTTCGCTCTCGGACAGGGGTCTTACCACGGCTTGGCGTCGAGGCGGTCGGGGCAACCCGTGTGGTCGGCGGTTTGCCACCGGTGGTGCGTTTACGGGGTCTTGCTCGGGGGTCTTGACCCTACGGTGTTCGGCACGGGTCACGGTGTCTGTCAGACGGGGCTCTACACTGCGGACTAGGGGGATATTCACAAGCACGTCACGAACGGCAGTAGGTATTCCTTTAGAGTACGCGTAACTATACGCGAACCGAAATACCAGACACACTCGTAGATCTCGGTTAATATAGATCATCGGATCCTTGCAACACGTGGTTATGCCCAGACTTCGTAACTTGCGTGATAGGCTGCAGGCCTCGCTTCGGGCACTGCCCAACACCACCAGTCGGGAGGACAGACATCGTAGGCGGCAGCTACACAGGCGCTTGTCGCAAGTACAGCGCCGTCTATCCCGTATGAGGTCTATCCGTACACGCGCGGTCGTACAGAAGTTGAAGCGCCGACGCTTAGAAGCAAAACAACTACGAGCACATATGCACATAGCTACATGGAACACCAGGGGATTGGGAGCTGAGGCTGGGGATATTGATCAGGAGATGAAAATGACAGCTATATTGGAAAGGATGAGGATACAAAAGTGGGACGTGGTGGGCCTCACGGACCTTAAGTACAGACAGGATGGAGTTCGTAGGTTCAGGCATGCAGGTCAGGACAGGTTCTTAGTGGTTGCGGGTCGGGTTGGATTCCTGATGTCGGAGGCGTGGCAGCGTGGCATGCCTGGTGGCAGTCGGGGGGCGGGGTACTGTATGCTCGTTCGGTTCGGGTTGCGGCCATACAAATGCCAAGGGATGGCTGGAGAAGAGGAGTATTTATATGCTGCGCGTACGCACCCACCAGCGCTTCGGGCAAGGCTGCCCGCCAAGCTGTGCGTCAAGAAGTAGACATAGCAATGGGGTTGGCTACTGCTACAAGCATGCGCCTGGTTTTGGGCGACTTAAATGCGGAGTTAGGCAACAACCGGGACGTGGGGCACCCTAATCACGAAGTAGTGGGGAGTTTTTCGGCGGCCAAGATTACAACGGCAGGAGCAGAGTGGAGAGCGTGGTGTGGCAGGCGAGGATATAGGGAGGCATCCAGTAGATACCAGATGCGGCATAGATGGACATGGCGTCATCCTCGTTTCAAGTCGTTGCATGAGTTAGATCATGTTTTAATTCATGAGACTGATCTATGGCATCTTCAGGCGGCCAGAGTTTTTATTGAGGGTCCCAGCGTCGTGGCTCCATGGTCGGAGTATACGGACCACAACCCAGTCTCGGTTAAACTAAGGGTGGGTAGGCGGTGGGATGCCCCTTTCAAAGGACTCAAACAGGCTCCAAAGCCACACATCGCGCGCATGGCGGGTACGACTACCTCTGCGGAAGAGCTTAGGAAGAAGTGGACCCTCGAGGTGGAGGCTAGGCTGCGTAGCTGTAGATCCGACATGGAAAACGCGAACATGGAGGATCAATGGGAGCGTATGTGTAAAATATGTAGGGACGTCTCTTTTGAGGTCTGCGGCGTTCTAAAGAGTCACAAAGGCGCGCCTTGGCTTCGGGACAAAGGGGGGGACATTGAACGGCTAGATCAAGCAATATTGCAGGCAAAGGAGCAAGACAGGGAAGCCAGAGGGTCCGGGGACGCTGGGGCTATGGCAAGGGCTAGGCGGGATTTACAGCAGTCCAGGCAGATGAAACGCAGAACGTTGAGCAAATGGGAAGTTGACTGGTTACGGGCTAAGGCTGATGAGGCGAACGCACTGGTAGACAAACCCAATGCATCCATGGTGTTTAGCGTAGTCAAGGAGCTTACGCAAGGGGCGACACGTAAGAAGACCGATGGAGGGACACGGCATGTCATGAATCAACAGGAGGTTGAGGAATGGAAGGAACATTTTCAGGCGATCCAAACGGGCAGAGGGGAGGTCTCGGAAAATGTCTGGGAGGATATGGAATCGCGGGATGTTTGTATGGAGTTAGATGACCCCCCCACGCAAGAGGAAGTTCGCCGAGCGGTAAATGCCATGAAGCGAGGCAAAGCCGGAGGGGAAGACTCCATGGTGGCAGAATACCTAAAGCTGGGAGGGGCGGAAATGCAACGAGTTCTATACAGGGTTGTCAAGCGTTGTTGGGAGGAGGCAACTCGCGCCCCGGACGGTTCGGAACACGAGTCATGGCCCAAGTCCTGGAAAATAGGTATTATCATACCGTTGTGGAAAAAGAAAGGGGACCGCAAGAACAAGAATACATGGCGGGGTATCACGCTATTGTCGGTGGGTTCCAAGCTTGTGGCGCGTATTTGTGCTATGAGAACACAGCGATGGTGCCAGCTATGGCTTAACCCCTTACAGTTCGGGTTCCGGTCGGGTTCAGGAGTGGACGACGTACAACAGCTTTCAAGAAGGTTGTTGGAGGAATCCGCCCAGTCCGCACATTCGAAAACTATCCTGCTCCGATTTTTTGATTTGGAAAAAGCTTATCCAAAAGTGGCTAGACATGCTTTATGGCGCACGTTGGAAAGGAAAGGATGTCCTCGTGGGTTTCTCAAAGTCCTAAGGCCATTCATGAAGGTACGGCAAGCAAGGTCAAACTACAAGGTATGACGTCTGCAAGTTTTGTTCCTGATAGAGGTCTCCGTGAAGGCTGTCCGTCTTCACCCATCCTCCTTAATGTCTATCATCACGGTTTTATGGAGGTTTTCAGGGCCCGAAGGGCAAGAGCGGCATCACATGCGGGACAACAACCTGGTGTGACGTGGACTTTTAAAGTGGATGGAAAAGTAGCCAAAAGGAAAGGAGATAGGGAGGATGAGGGTAGGCATACGAGAAGACGCGTTATCGGGGATTTCGCATATGCTGATGATACGGGCATTATCGGGGAAGCGGAAGAGGCGCGAAGGGCGGAAGGAATCTTCACCGAAACAATCACGTCTTTTGCAGGTATAGTCAACACAGGTAAAACGGAAGGATTGAGAGTCGAATCTGAAGCCCGTCCCTCCACGGATGTCCAGTGGATAGGAGAAAGCAAGTCAGTTAAACACGTGGGAGCAATGCTGTCGGAGAGGGCGGGGCACACGGCGGAATCAGAAAGAGCAGCACGCAAATGCATACAGAAAATTGAAGAAATCTCGTCAGCCTGGACCAAGGGCAAAGCTGCGAAACGTCGCAAACACGATTTCAAGAAGAGTGTTCGCGTCAAGATCCTCAAAGCGGCGGTCAAAGGGACTCTTTTAACTTTCAGCAGAACTAGAGCATGGCAAACCAGTCAGGTTCACAGGATGCAGAACATTGTGAATTTTTCCATTCGTAGGATTTTCAATGCCAAGATTCAGGATTTGCGACGACAAGGCTTAACCAATGCGGTGCTAAGACGTATGGTACAGTGGGAAACTTTTGATTCTGCGGTACGTCGGGCCTCTCTCCTATGGTTGGGACATGTAGCGCGCATGACAACAGAACAACCACAAAAGCAGATTTTGTTCGGTTGGTTGGAGGGTTCCAAGGCGAAGCAGCGATGTCCGTTCAAACAGGCTCAATGGATCAACTCATGCCTTCGGGTCGCCGACATCTCGGAAATGGACTGGTTCCGCCTGGCTCAGGATCGCGGTCACTGGCGAAAAATCGTATATAAGGCGTTTCCGGTCGAGAAAGTGATACGGGGTAGGGAGCAGGAGCTAGATGCTTGGAGACTGGGGGACCCCATTCCGGAGTGGGCTCGTGAAGCGGCCGATGATCCGACGGAACAACAGTTTGAGAACAGTGAGGATGAACTCGGGGAACGACGTAGAGGAGGGTACGAAGAGCCGGAACCAAGAACGTATGGTAATCGACCGCGTAGGCTAAGACAGGATCGCAGAGCAGCCAGGGGAGGGGAAACACACAAGTGCCCGGTTTGTGGGGAGGAGTTCGGCAAGGCTAATCAACTCGCTTTTCACTATGAGGCGGAACATTCGATTTGTGATCCCAAACTCAGTACGGTGCAGTCGTTTCAGTGTACGGCTTGTCGGCAAACCTTTCGTCGCGCACAGCAAAGGAAGGATCATGACTGTCCTGCCAAGAAACAGTTACATAGGCTCACATGCATAGATCCGGAGGAGCAGGTTGGAGGACAGGATCGAGGAACTCAACTACCGTATCCACCAGTTTGGTATCTGTACACGGATGGGTCTGGGGGCAGCGGTGGCTCAGCAGCCGGGCCGCAAATGGCCGGGTGGGGTGTAGTGGTGTATGGGGTCAAGGATCCGAGCCCGGATCTTCCATGGCTGGCGGCGTTATATGGACCGGTTTGTACGGCGGAGTATGACCCAGTATGGATGGGCGCGCGAAAGGGGACCAACAACACAGCGGAGTTATCTGCCATCGGGGAGGCGTGTAAGTGGCTTTTAGAGTTGCACGAGCGACTTCCTGCGGAGGTCCCCAGGAGGGCCATGGTACTGTATGACTCCGAGTACGCCTACGGGATAGCGACAAGGTTGACCCAAGACAGGGAAAATGGTTTGTTGGGGGATATGGTCGCCATGTTAGTAAGTCGTGTTCGCAGAGCATTTGATCTATCCTTTCAGCATGTATACGGACATACGGGAGTGCATGGAAATGAAATCGCAGACAGGTTGGCTGATAGGGGGGCGTCGGGAAGGGTATCACCGCATGCAGTCTCTTGGAATACGAGACCTGAGGGACCCATGGGAGCAGAACCGGCACCGCCCCCCCCACCAAACCGCCGTCCCGCTCAGGCCAGGGCAGTGCGACGCAGACCGGCAGCTGCAGAGGGACCACGTCTGGGGCGACACCTATTGGTCACCTGCCCAACCTGCCAGGTCCAGTTCAGGAATTGCGATCTACCCCAACATCAACCGGACTGCCGGGGACCAGGGGACGCCAATCGTACGTGTAAATACTGTGGGGTTGTCCTGGGGTCCGTTGGAGCTAGAAAGAATCATGAACGGTACACGCACGCATCCGAAGCACTAAGGGATGGGCATATCGGGAAGCTTTCAAAAAAGCGTTCGGGCGCGTAGTACTACTGACGCAGGACAGGTTTGTTGAGCAAGGTGCGCGGGGAACGGGGGGCACTATGGGGGGGGTAACTGGTTACGCCTGTCCCTGGTCTTCAGAGTTGGATCACTTGCCGCTGTCATTTCAGCTCGAATTTCTAGTTCTTCGTCGCTGCCCATGTGGTGGAGCAGGTCACTCGTAGTGCTTGTCCTAACGGTGGGATGGCTCAAAACGCGGAACGCAAACGCAAGATGGGGGAACTTGAGGCTAAGGTCGAAGAACTCGTCGGGACAGTTGAGGAGCATGGACAGCGGTTGGAGCGGTGTGAACTCCGACTTGAGGACATACAATCCTACCGTTTCCTGCGGGTGGAGCATTCGACGTCACTGGACAAGCTATGGCAGGATGTGGAGTCCGGGGAAGTGCTTAAGCCTGCTATCCGCGGTACTGCTGCACAGGTGCTTTACAAGGAGCTTTGTGAAGTGGTGGGTGCTATGCAGGACGAGGACGGGCTCAAGGCAAAGGCGGCGGAACTGTCTGGGGATAAGCGACCTCTGCCGGAAGCAGCCTCGAGACGCGAGGCTGCGGAAGGATGCATTTTGGAGAACCTTGTGGAGTGGGTCTCGAGGGACTCCAAGGGGGTTAACAACATACGGTTGTTGCCGGGGGAACCCTCTCGTTTGGTATCTGAGCGGATCAAGCGGACGCTCAATTGGGCTCTGTACGTGTCGGCTAAGATGCCAAATGCCTCGAGTACCCTTCAGATCTACATGGACAGAGGACCTCGTACACGAGCCAAAGGAAAAGGAGATGGCAAAGGCAAGGGGAAGGGAGGAAAGCAGGGAGGAAAAAGCAAAGGAAAGGGCAAGCAGGGGGGACGCAAGTGATCCGGATGATCACGAGGCCAGGCGGTAACGAACACGGATAATCTTTGAGCAAGGGTAGAAGACTGTATTCTATGTTTTTTCCTTTTGGATTCGGACAGTATGGGATGATAACCACGTATTCTTTTTGGTACACTCGTCAAGTCGTCGGGGCGAGGCCCTCCTATAGGGAGGCCTCTGGGACGGGCTGGTCCTATCGGGACCTCCCAAGGAGACGACTGGTAGGGGGAGTTTTTTGGATTCTCTGATGACAGTATAGTCTGGTGGTTCTTTCTGCAGAATTCTAGTAAGGGAGGGATGATGACGCTTGTTATGTAAGGGAGTGGTGGCGGGGAGTATTGTATGTAAGGGGGGGTATTGTAGGAGTCCTGCCATGCGGTAACAGACCTCCAGACCACACCAAATGCGCAATACTTTAGACGTCTAGCCGCGGTTTTTTACACGAGTAGAGCCCTGTCTCAGTGATGTTGCTTGTACGGTGTAGGTGTAATACACCCCCGTCCCGAACCGACGCGCCCTGGTCATGCAGGTTGGAACACAGGTTGGTCACAGCGGCGAGGCTACCTCCGTCGCTCACTTCTTCTTCTACTTGCGTTTGGCTTTGGCTTGGGTCCGGCCAGGTTGGGTTGGGTTGGTTCAGGTCAGGTTCTTTTGATTCAAGTTGGGCCGTCCCAGGGGTTTGGGTGGGGCGAGGTTTGGTGAGGGTCAGGCGGATTACGGACTGGTTAGGTCAGGTTGGGTTGGGTCAGGTTCTTTTGATTGGAGTTGGGCCGTTCCAGGTGTTTCGGTGGGGCGAGGTTCGCTGAGGATACGGCAGATTGCGGTTGCGGAATGGTTATAGGTTAAGTAAGGTCGGGTTTGGGTAGGATAAATGAAGCAAGCTTTCGTACTTGTACGACAAAGCTTTATAGCTGAAGTTAATTTGCGAAAACTCTTTGTTTTCGCTAAGTCAGCAATTTTTCAATCAAATGTTTACAGTTGTTTCAACGAGCAAGTTTTCATGTTTCAACCATTGGGAAAATTTTCCTGCTTGTTGCACATCTATTCGAGTGTGTGCAGCATCACGGCTCTCAGAGAGCCGAAAGGAAATTTTTTGTGGGCTGTGGGCCTTTAACTTTAACTGCAACAGCCCCCCGGGCCTCAACTTGTCTGACGTTGTAGGCCGTCAAGACCCCTCCTCGGTGAGGGGGTCGGATGGAGAGGGGCGAGCCGCCTGTGCCTGCTCGTCGCCTCGTCACGCTGCTCTTGGTGCAGGGCCTCGAAGTGCGGGGTTGGGAGAGCGAGATTCGGGAGCCTTCCGTCCCCGCTTTGCTAGGAGCTACGCAGTCTTGCTCCTTGTTACTTCTCAGCCTTCGCTTCGAATCTTCAGGGCCCCTGTTCTGTACCAATCGCGAGGCTCGCAGAGTGCAGGTACACCTCCTGCAGTCGGCCGTGCTTTCGCGCCGCCGCCTCGAGCGTCTCTTTTATCAGTAGCCCCTCTTCCTCGGTTTGTGAGTGGGGTGAAAAGCCTCGGTCAAGTGCTACTGCATAGGATCAATGGCTTCCGGAGATGCATTTGAGTCGCATTTGCTGTCATGCTCATCTTCGCACAGATCAGTTTGGAAGCAGCCTTGGGAAGCAGGGTTGCTGTCTCATGAGTCCGCGCCGAAGCCATTACGCCCGAAAGGCCCGATGCCTTTGACTATCTTTGCCGAAGAGAATGCTATCGCAGCGGGTTCCCAGCCCGGTGAGCCTGAGTGTAAGAAGCTTAAGCTTGACCAGCTGCATGAAAAAATGATTAAATATGGTGATGCCATCAAGAAGCCGTGGCCGAAACTCCAGGACGAGCATCGCAACCTTGCCATCAACAAGTGGTTGCAGATAGTGCTTAAGGCCCCCATGTGCTTCATGGTGGCCAGGAACTACTTTGAATCCAGGACTTTGGGGTTCAGCTCGGGTTCTCTCTCGCATAGCATAGCGGAGTGCATGTCCACCAAGGCATCCAGTACCTTGCATACGCGTGCCAACCACTTCCTCAGGTTCATCTTGTGGACCACGAAGCAAGGTGTTGTTGCCTTGCCGCTCACCGAGCCTGTTGTGCATCACTACTTCGTGACGACCGCGGCAACCGCGGCCCCCACAGCTTTCAGGAGTTTTCTTTCTTCGGTTGGCTTCGCGAAGTTTGTGGTCGGGCTCGGGTCGGCCGATGCAGTGCTCATGTCTGGCAGGGTTGTCGGCCTATCGGCTAAAGCTTACATGGATAAGAGACCCCTGTGCCAGAGGGAGCCGCTCCTTGTTGCCGAGGTTGAGAGGCTCGAAAAGCAAGTTCTTGATGAAGAGAGAGGTAAGCCTGACCGCGTTGCAGCTGGCTACTTTTTGTTTCTGACTTTCGGCAGGGCTAGATACAGCGATGGGCAGCGTGTCACTCGACTTAAGCTTTCTGCGTGTGGCAAGTACCTTGAGGCGGAGGTTGCGCGTTCGAAATCCAGCATGTCGCTGGAAAGGAAGACGCGGCTCCTTCCTGTCACTGCAAATGCTGAGGGCATCCTAGGCTCCGGCTGGGGCCGAGTCTGGTTCGGTCTCCTCGCCTCAGAAGGCATCACTTCTGGGAACAACAGGCCTCTGCTCCCGGCTCCGCGGAGCCATGGAACCTGGAGCGATAGCCCACTCCCGTGCGATCAAGCAAACAATTGGTTGAGGAGCCTCCTCGGGGTTTCCGGCTTCAGGGCCACTTCGATCGGGACACATTCTTGTAAGCGGACCACATTGAGCTGGTGCAGCAAATGGGGGATCCCTAGGGATGTCAGGTGCATTTTGGGATACCATGTTTCTCCTCGTGCTGGCATTGGAACGGAGTTGCTTTACGAGTCAGACTCCCAAGCGGCCCCACTCAGGTCCCTTGACACCGTGCTTGGTAAGATTCGCCAGCGATCCTTCAGGCCGGACGCTCCAAGAGGAGAGCAGTTTCAGGACGCCGATGCTGCTGCCGCGCCGGCAGCAGCCCCTGAAGATGAGTGCGGAGTAGGAGACATGGTGTCAAGCTCGGAGGACAGTGCCGATGAGGAGCACCCAGACCGAGAGCTCGACGAGGCTGCCGAAGCTGAGGCCCTGGGACGTTGGCGTGGCAGAGTCGACTTGGCGAAGCTTGGTGAGTCCCCTCAGTTTTATAGACACACTTTATCTAGGGTCTTGCACTTGCTCGCAGAAGAAGGTGGAACTACCTTCAAGTGTGGGCGCACCATTACGGCTGCATATGAGAACTTGGTTGACATGCCAAGAGTTTTGTATCCTCGGTGCAAGCAATGTTTCCGCTCTATGCTGCAGGCCTAAGTACTTTTGCAAGACATGACCGCGGAGCGGCAGGTGGCCTTTTTGAGCATAGATTATCGCTGCGAGATACGATCCAGAGAAAGCGCGCCGTGCAAGAGCGTCCGCTAGCCCTGCAAGTCCAAGCTTGAGTGGAGTAGTGTCCTGCAAGTTGCGGTGAGCCCAATCATCGCGTTGAATACGAACAATGTAAGCAAGATTGCTGAGCTCGTCGCCCGCGTCGAGTCACACCTCAAGCGAGGGCCGGATCACTCCTGAGTTGGAGGGCCGAAGTTTCCCGCCATGGCTTCCTTTTCTGAATCCGAGCCTGTCTTTGCATCACGATGCCTGAAGGTTGGATTGGCGGAGGCCGATACCGCCAAGCTCAAGGCTCAAGGGATCACGACCCTTGCTAAGGTGGCTTTCTGCTGCTCTTACACCCCAGGCTCGGGGGACGATGCTGAGTTGATTCGTGCCTTGAAGGATGCTCTGGGGGCTGAGCCGGATCTGGGGCAGAAGTCTGCATTCAGACGGCTTTTCCACGAGGCCTTCTCAGTCACGACGGCTGAGATGAAGGCGATGGTCGAGCAGACCGACGAGTCGGCTCCTCGTCGGCTCAGTGTGCCCGAAAGGGCAGAGCGGCACAATAAGATCGCAAAGCGGCTGCCAGGGTTGGACATTCGTAATCGGTTGGAGCCGTCCGACAGCTTGGTGGATGCCTTTGTGGCGCTTTACGAGCAGAATCGCCTGCATTTCATTGAGTGGGATCGTCTCACGTCGAAAGAGCAGGAGGTCACCAGCAGCTCTAAAAAAGGGACGGTCTTGTCAGTGGACGCTTCAGGCAGACTGAAGACGGAAAAGGGCGAATCCGCGAAGGCGGAGACGACCACCGAGTTGTTGCTCCAGTTCGCCCTCACCCGGAGAGGAATTGCAATGGAAATGGGAAACTTGCTTGACTACAGTCTTCATGCAAAGTGGGTGGAGCGTTTGTTGTGTGCTCGCCTGGACCAGGTGCCTCAGACACACGTCCAGACTACTTTCAATCAGCTACAGCTTGCAGACAGGAAGCTGTTTCAGCTCTTAGCTGAAAGAACGCGCTCCGGCATTCAGGCCACTCCCAGTGGCCGTCCACTGGACATCGTATTCGAAGACACATGGATGGCCCCAGAAGTGCTGCATATCTTGCAGCCGATGCCCAGGCCTTCTGGGCATGCGCCACAGATCAAGGACACCAGGCCAGGTCCTTACACACCCACTGGTGTGAATACCGATCACTGGGTGCCCACGCGCAAGGGCAAAGGAAAAGGAAAGAGCAAGTTTCGAGCTTCGTCGAGACTCCCCGCTGGCTTGGAAGGTTGTCGCTCGCATACCAATGCCGGCGAAAGCATCTGTTATGGCTTCAACCTGAAAACGTGCCAAGAGGTCGTGACCAGGGGGAGGTGCAGCAAAGGCTTGCACATATGCGCCTGGCCCAAGTGTGGCAAGAGCCATGCAGCGGTTGATTGCCCCGAGAGGGCAAAAGCTGCAAAGCAGTCGTGACTAGTCACGGCTTGCAAGCGGGGTGCCAACGATCCTTGTCGTGCCTCCGAGGCCCGACAAGAGGGCACAGAATTCGCCTCTAAGGCGTTATCGACTGCCTCAGAGGCAGTCCCGGAAGCTTCCCACAAACGTGTGCGAGCTTCTCTTGATTCTTTGTGTGAGATTTCGAGTGCGAGCTTTGTTCAGGACATTAGTTTTTCGCATGCCCAGCAGAGTGCTTGTTCATGCCCCAACAGCGAGTTTTTGATTGAGTTCGAGCAACTGAGAAGTGGATTGATGACGAAACATGCTGGGCCACAGGTTGGCTCGCCTGAGGCCTTTGCCGCTGCGATCCTCGCCAAAGGACTGCCCTCTAAGGACGACGTGCTCGCTTTGGCACGCATGCTGCCTATGAGCCCCTCTCCCAGAGATGAAGCTGCCAAGTCCTTTAGCACGGGTGCATGCGTGCATGGCGGAGCCGTGAACATACGCAAGACGTGCGGCCTGCATCCTTTTGCGACTCTTGCTCTCACCGCCTTCGTGCGTGCGAAAGCCCCCGAGTGCACTTTCAGCACAGTCACTGTGCTATTCGAGGACTCCGCACCGCCACATAGAGATCTACAAAACCACTCTTGCGAGAATCACGTTTTCCCTTTGAGCACCTTCTCAGGGGGTAAGCTGTGGGTTGAGGGGCATGGCGACGAAAGGCTGGTGCTAGACGGCAAAGAAGTAATCGGAGGCCCGCTGGAGTGGGTAGGCGACTGTGTCAAGTTCCGTGCAGACAAGCTGACACACTTCGTTCTGCCGTGGAAGGGTTCAAGGGTTGTCTTGGTTGCCTTCTGCGTTAGGTTCTTCACTGAGCTTGACGGCGATAAGCTTGCGACCCTAACCTCTTTGGGGTTTAGGCTCCCAAACCCTTCCGATTTGTGCCCGCCGGCCAGTGCAGACCCCTGCGACAGGGGTCCGGGCCCATCAGAGGCTCCAGAGGTCGATCGAGAGCCAAACACAGGCATTGCATCTCCTGGGGATGGATTCATAGCGGCGCCTCCTCGTGCGAGTGCCGAGCCATCTGCCAATCATGTCCCTCATTCGCCTTCGCTTGTCCGCTTGGCTGAGGAGCCCAGAAAAGCGCACCTGTTCGAGAAGCCTTTGTTCATCGAGGTATGCGCGGGCTCAGCCCTCCTTTCAAGTGTCGCTCGAGAGGCAGGGTTCGACATTCTGCCCATTGATGCAGGACACAAGGTTCCCCGGGCGTATGCACATGTGCTTCGCCTCGACTTGCGAGAATCGCTCACGCTTCAGTTTCTAGAGAATGTGTTACAGAATCGAGCTGTCGCTTGGATACACTTCTCCCTGCCAACTGGCACGACTGGGCGTGTCTTTCGAAGCCTCGCCTCTCCCAGAGGTCTGCCCAACTTGCAAGAGCCCGGAGCCTCCCGCGTGCTGGCGGCTAACGCCATCTTCGACAACGTTGCCACTTTGCTTCAGAAAGTCCTTGCATCATTTCCGTCGGTTGGTGTCTCTGTAGAGCATCCCATCGGATCTGCCGTTTGGGAGCTGCCAGCCTTTGCTCAGCTTCGACGCTCTCTGCCACGAGTCACCCTGACTGCATGCTTCTTCGGTGCATTCTACAATCGCAAGACCCTCCTTGTGACCAACCGAGATGTTTTCCAGTCAATGGGCGGCCTTTGCCCCGGTTGTGTAAGCCACGGCAAGCCTCCAGGCTCAGGTTTTCGGTTGGATGGCAGCTACCCCAAAGCCTTTTGTGAGGCCTTTGTTGGCCACGTTGCAGCTCACTCTGCCTCGTGCGGCTTCTTCTTGGCACCCCAAGCAGTGTCGACATTGCATGCTTCACGCACGGCCGCGCAGGCCCAACCTCGTGCCTCGAAATTCCCGCCGTTGATCTCCGAGTTCGCCTACACTGTGTCGGTCCGCGCTCCGCGCGTTCCCCCTTTGAACAATAAGTCATGCCTTACGGCCTCTTGGCTATCCGTGCCGCTAGGCTCCAAGCTGCTGCGGTCCAGTTTTCCAGGGGGCCCGAATTGCCCGCCGCATCCTGGCCCCTATCTGCCAGATACCTCGCTCACATCATTTACATTCGGAGTGTATCGTGAGCCGAGCACTTTCTTGAAAGAAGCCAAGCTCCTCAAGCATCCCTTCGACACATGTCGCGGTCTCCCAGATGGCATGCTTAAGGTGCTGCACTTTATCCTGGTGCAGGGTCCAGTTGGAGTCATGAGACACCGGCTTAATGTCATAAAGCTTTGGCAAAAGTGGGCGTCCGAGCTGGCCCCCGAAGAGGAAAAACTTCGTGCAAGCCTTCACCCTGACGTGCGAGCCGTGCTAGGCAACAAACGTGTCCTCTTGATGAAGAAGATCGCCTCCTCCCTTAATTGGCCTGACACCACCTTATGGGATGATCTTACTCAGGGGTTTAAGCTTACCGGGTCCCAACCCCGGACGGGCGTCTTTGAGCCAGACTGTAAGCCAGCCATTTCTTCCGAGTCCGAGTTCTGGATGGCAGCGTCTGCTCAAACGCGCAACGTGGAAGCGAGTAGACAGTGCACCGCCTCAAGAATACTCAGAGCCCCTTTGGGACATCACTCTTGAGGAGGCAGACCCTAGTGGGAAGCAGTGGCTACACGGCCCGCTTTCTCGCGCAGAAGTGGACTCGATTTTTCCTCTAGGCTGGATGCCTTGCAGAAGATTCGCTGTGTGGCAGGGCAAGTGGCGGCCCATCGATGACTTCAGTGAGAATGGGGTCAACGCATGCTTTGAATGCTTCGAGCGCCTTTCCCTCAAAGCCTTGGACGAGGTCGCATGGGTTTGCATGTATATCATGAAAGCTTGCAAATACACAGGCTCCGTTGATCTCGAGCTCAGCGATGGGACTAGGCTTCGTGGTCCAGTGCACGCTTGTTGGAAAGACGTGGCACACTCCAAGCCGCAGACCAAAGCCTATGATCTTAAATCCGCGTACAAGCAGCTGCCTCTGAGGCCGTCCGAGCAAGCGAAGGCGGTTCTCGTCCTGAAGAAGCCAGGAGGCTCCGCTTGTGGCTTCGTGTGCAAAACATTGCCGTTCGGCGCATCCGCGTCGGTGCTGCAATTCAACTCTCGCTCTTCCTCCAAAGGCTTCTGTGGGAACTCCTCGTCCTGACCAGCTGCTACTTTGACGATTATCCTGCTGCAGCCCCCACTTTACTCTCTCAGTCGACTGATCACGTTGTTCACTCGCTGATGGATCTCCTGCAATTTCAGATGGCAAAGCCCAAAGAGAAACCTTTTGCCACCGTCACAGAAATGCTTGGAGTTCTTGTGGATACCTCCGATGATTCGCTTGCGAGTGTAAAGATCGGTAATAAGCCGGATCGAGCTGCTGCGCTCTCCGAGGCTTTAGGCAGCATCATTTCTTCAGGTCGGGTTGAGGTCAGAACTCTGCCGACTCTCTTTGGCAGACTCCAGTTTGCTAAGGCCCAGATCCTCGGCAGAACTGGGCGACTGGGAGTCGCGGACGTTCGCAAACTTGAGCACAGCAAGTCGGAGTTCGTGGATCTGAGAGATGACCAGCTGCAAGCTTTTAAGGTTCTTAGGGCTAGGCTCCTTAGGGGTGCCCCTAGGTCTCTTTCTTCTTCCCCGGGTGAGCCTCCTGTCCTTGTCTTCACTGACGGCGCATGCGAGCCAACCGCAAGCGGAGGTCACTTGGCCACAGTCGGGGGAGTTTTGATTGTGCGGGGCCGACACCCGCAGGTGCGTACTTTCGGCTGTAAGGTCAATGATGATCTTGTGTCCAAATGGTCCTCTGAAAAGAGACACCTTATTGGGCAAACAGAGCTTTTCGCTGTAGTCCTTGCTCGGTCGCTATGGTCGCAGTACCTTGCAAATAAGAGGACACTTTTCTTTATTGACCATTCTGGTGTGCTGGGGGCATGCGTCTCGGGGTCTGCCACTGACCCTTACTGGCGAGAACTCTTGTTACACTTTGAGGCTGCCGATGAGCCAGGACCATGTCTCTCGTGGTTCATGCGAGTCCCCAGCCACAGCAACTTGGCGGACGCCCCTTCGAGGGCAAAATGGTCCGAGATGACCTACTTGGAGCCGTATTCCAGGGATCGTCCTGCATGCTTCGTTTCAGGCACTCTCCTCGCTGACGTCGAGTCATAGATGAGGTGCATGGGAGGTATGCATCTACGACTCTCAGTCGTTGTGCTCTGCTCGTGCCGACTCGGAGTCGGTTCACACTCGTGGTTGCTCGTGCCACATACTTTTACCTCCCGTGCTTCAGCTCGCGCTGATAAAAAGAAGCGACCTCTCACTCGTTCGCTTTTGCAACTTCCTATATATGGAATTCGCAAAGATATTTGATTCGCGAATACATTTGAAGATGAGAAAAATATATTGCTGACTTTTAACTTTGCTATAAGCAAGCTTTCGTACTTGTACGACAAAGCTTTATAGCTGAAGTTAATTTGCGAAAACTCTTTGTTTTCGCTAAGTCAGCAATTTTTCAATCAAATGTTTACAGTTGTTTCAACGAGCAAGTTTTCATGTTTCAACCATTGGGAAAATTTTCCTGCTTGTTGCACATCTATTCGAGTGTGTGCAGCATCACGGCTCTCAGAGAGCCGAAAGGAAAATTTTTGTCCCGCCCTCCCATACCCTGTGATCGTTGTTCCGGGGGGGGGGGAGGTATGCATCTACGACTCTCAGTCGTTGTGCTCTGCTCGTGCCGACTCGGAGTCGGTTCACACTCGTGGTTGCTCGTGCCACATACTTTTACCTCCCGTGCTTCAGCTCGCGCTGATAAAAAGAAGCGACCTCTCACTCGTTCGCTTTTGCAACTTCCTATATATGGAATTCGCAAAGATATTTGATTCGCGAATACATTTGAAGATGAGAAATATATTGCTGACTTTTAACTTTGCTATAAAATTGGGTATAGGAGGAAATCAAACTTGAGTCCGTGCATGTACTTGCGTTTAGGGCAGGGAACGCATGCTCCAAAGTTAACCAAACATACCCAACCTTGATCTAAAGGAGTCCGAACCTACTGAAAAAGTGGCAGCCAGATGTCACCAAACCTGACCGGATACAACTTTTTGGATCCAGTCTAGTCCTCCCCACGCTACCCTGCGCTGCAGCAGGAATGAACAGAACCATCAAGGATGGTCTCCCGTGCGCTTATCATCTCTGGGGCATGGAGGAGATCACTCCGCGTATCCAGGGAGTCATTCGCGGATTGGCAATCAAACACAAGCACGTTGACGAGAATGAGTCCACCTGTACCTTCACGGTCGAGGATCCAAAGCCGCCATGCTTGGCTTTCTTGACTTCGGACAATGTGCAGCCGGGGGTGGACGAGGAGGCTACTGCAGTATAGGAAAGGGCGCAACAAGGGGGATGACGTAGTTGCAGCATCCTCTGCAAACCTTTTTCTTTCGCTTGCACAGGGTCGTCAGCGACGTTGCCCTCCGGTGTGGAAGTTCGTCGAGAGCCTGCCACACAATTTCCACTGCGCAGATTACACCCCGGGCAAGCTCAGAGACTGGCAGGCAGTGCGCGTGTGCTGTGGTTAGGGGCCAGGTTTTCGCGCAAAAGGCTGATGCTGGGTTGGGTCATGTTTCCTGTAAATGTGATGAAACGTCTGCGGTCCCTGCAGGTGAGGAGAACCTACTGCATGCCGGTCATGAGAGCAGACTTGGTGGTCGATTCGGAAGCGCACGAGAAACTTTTGGCTTTGATTCGAGCCGCTACTCCGGAGGCTTTGGCTCAGGCTGCACGCTCATTGAACTTGTTCAAAGCCACGGGCTCTGCGGGGGGGTCGTCGGAGGAGACCTTGTTTGTTGTGTGCTGCGGCAATTAATGGCTACGTCCGGGTATCGGCAACGAGAAAGTAGCCGCATTTAGAGTTGCGCAGGAGCCCATGGAATCCATGTCCATTCCACGTTTGCACGTGCTCCTGTCCGAACTGGCTTTGGTCATGGTACTCAGCCGAGCATGGCACGGCTACCACGTCATCTGCACGTGTGCCTGGGCTTAGTCCAGCTATAAGGAGGACTTGGGTTTTTAGGTAGGGCAGCTGCGGGTTGGTTTGCGTAAAAAGTGTAGGTGCAGATACTTTCCTGCGGTTTGGGTCGGGACTGGTTAGGTTGGGTCAGGTTTCAGTAGGATGAACCAAAATTGCGTCGATGCATCTACTTGCCCTTGGTTTGGCTTCACTTCCGCCAGGTCGGGTTAGGTTGGGTTATGAGAGGTTCTTTTGATGCAACTTGAGTTCGCTCAGGTCAGGTGAGGGGATAGGGTGGTGGTTGAGGCGAGATTAGGGTTGGGGTTTCGCAGCCGTCGGTACTTCGGCCTAGGTTTGGTTTGGGTAAGGCAGAGTACGGACTGGTGAGGTCAGGTTAGGTTAGGTTTGGTTAGGTTAAATTAAAATTGGAATTAAACTTGTGTGTAGGATAAATCAAACTTGAGTGAGTGCATCTACTGGCATTTCGCTTTGGCTTGGGTCCGGCCAGGTTGGGTCGGGTTGGGTCAGGTCACGTTCTTTTGATTCAAGTGGGCCGTCCCAGGGGTTTGTGTGGGGCGAGGTTTGGTGAGGGTCAGGCAGACTACGGACTGGTTAGGTTAGGTTGGGTCAGGTTTTGGTGCGATAAATTAAGTTTGGGTATAGGAGTAAATCAAACTTGAGTCAGTGCAGGGACTTGCGTTTCGCCTTGGCTTGGGTCGGGCCAGGTTGGGTTAGGTGGGGTTAGGTTGGGTTAGGTCAGGGGCTGTTGATTCAAGGTGGGCTATTCCAGGGTAGCTTTGCGCTTGGGTCGGGCCAGGTTAGGTTACTTCAGAGTAGGCGAAGGTGAAGTAGTTGGTGAGATTTTTTCTCTCCGGTCGGGACAGGTTAGGATTGCTTAGGTTGGGCTAGGTTGCATGAATGGTTAGGATTGGTTAGGTTGGGCTATAAGTTGCATAAATACAATTGCATATACCGTCCGTGATTTAATTTCGGACTTTTGCCTTTCCTGTCGGTCCCCGTGGGTTGGGTCAGCGTAGGTTAGGATCGGTTGGCTTCGGTGGGTCCAGGTTGGGGTGCCTCAGGTTAGGTACGGTTGCCAAAGGTTTCGAAAGCCGAGGTTGCGCTGGCCTGGTGTGTCTACCCTAGGTTGGTTTAGCTTCGGTTGGGATAGGCATAGACGTTTTTCCTCAGGCTGCACGTCCGCGGAACTGGGCCAATGCGCACATGTCATTCTGGCGCGATGGATGGAGCAGGATCCACTGGTCCGTCTAGCTGACATTTCGGAATATACCATGCGCAATGCAGCAGCCACGGTGGAGGGCGCTGAGATGCAGCTGCGAAATCGGCTGCTCCCCAAAGGCCCGGTGCTGAAGACGCTGCCCCCGCGATCGGCGTGGTCGACTCTGCAGCTGCTGGTTCGCGAAGGGCAGAAGCGTGCTGAGAAGAGGCGAGCCACCAAAGATGACAAAAAGAGAAAGTTGTCCGAAGCTTTCATCTCGCCGTCACATGCGGCAGCACTGGACGATGCCGCAGCTGTTGCAGCTGCGTCCAGCTCGCAGATGCGGCCAGGACAGCAGAGGTCGCTGGCTCTGGAGCGTGCGGGCAAAAGGCTGGCGTCACACTCTTACGCGTCGCACATGCAAGCACTCACGGACTTGCTTCAGCTACAGGTTTCGCTGGACCAGGCGCGCAAAAGGGACATCCTCTTCATGATCCAGGCTTTGTCTCGGGCTCGCGACACGCAACTTCCGCTGCGACTCCTGTGTCGACAGTTGCTCGACCTCTGGAAGAGAGACAAAGCTGCGGCGGCAGCGGAGGCAAGTCCGCGCACTCCAAAGCTGCAGAAGCAAAAGCAGCGGAGGCAAGTCCGCGCACTCCAAAGGCTGCAGAAGCAAAGGCCGCCGCGGCAGCGGAGGCAAGTCCCCACACGCCCAAGGCTGCAGGAGCTACGGGGGACTGAGCATTGGCTACAGGTTTGGGTCCGTCGACTTGCAAAAAAGTCGACGGCCATTCGCATCCGCTTGCAAATTATTTCCGGCCTGCTTCAGAAACAGCATCTTCGTTTGCGGCAAAAATGGTCCGGTCGTGTCTCCGAGACGACAGGATAGTACTTCTGAGGGTTCGGCTCAGTTTAACGGTGCCCGTGAGGTTGGGTTAGGTGAGGTCGGGAATAGGTAACGTCGGGTTGCTGTTGGCGTGTTGTTTTTGTCACTGGTCTTCTGCTTGCCTTCGGTTGGGAGAAGTTTGGGTGAGCTTATCCTGACATTCCCCCACCCTATCTATGTTGAGCCGACTGAACTTGCGAAGTTCAACCAGAAGCCAACCAGACCTGAGAAGCGACAACATTTCCTCTTCAAAATTGTTCTTGTTCCTTTGACATGGTCCGGTCAACTGTACCCTGCCCCAAATCCGTCAAGTCAGGCTAGGTCGGGTCAGGTTAGGCTAGGTTTAGTTAAGTCGGGTTGGGGCAAGCTTTGTCAGCGGTTAGTGTAGGTCTCCGCGACCTCCGTGAAGCCAAACGAAGCTAGGCAGGTTCAGGCGGTTCGGGTTAGGGACGTTGCATTCGGTCCTCACTCGCGCCTCACCTGACCGATCCCAGCCTCTCACCTACATATATGGACCTATGTGTGGATTCCTGCAGGCGCGGCGCACCGCTCCATGGCGGTTCTCGGAAGTTTTGGCTCGCGAGCCTTGGCTCGCCTCAGCTCAGCTTGGGTCCTGTTGGGGTGACGTCAGGCTCGGTCAGATTACGTTAGGCTGGGTCTGCTTAGTTTAGGTTGGAGCAAGGTCTGTCGGCCGTTAGCGTATGTCCCCGTCAAGCGAAACGAAGCTGGGTAGGTTCAGGTTAGGGACGTTGCATTCGGTCCTCACTCGCGCCACACCTGACCGGATCCGTGTGGACCTATGTGTGGATTTCTGCAGGCGCGGCGCTCCATGGCCCTGCTCGGAAGTTTTGGCTCGCGAGCCTTGGCTCGCCTCAGGTCAGCTTGGGTCGGGTTGGGGTGAAGTCAGGCTAGGTTAGGTTACGTTAGGCTAGGCTTAGTTAGGTTAGGTTGGAGCAAGCTTTGTCGGCCGTTCGCGTAGGTTCCCGTGAAGCCAAACGAAGCTAGCCAGGTTCAGGCGGTTCAGGTTAGGGGTTGCGTTCGGTCCTCACTCG